TTTTTCTTCACCCAGATAGAGTTAACCTACAGCCTCAGCTTCATCTCTGTCCCTATACTATAAATATGATTAGGCCTGAAAAATATCCCCTGTGAATCAAGGGCAGAGTTTATTGAACTTCTGAGGGATTTGGGAAGAAAATGGTTTTTGTGTTTATAAATTCTAGAAATTATTTTTTAACCTAGAGAGGAAAGATTCAAGTGAGGACAGAATGGAAAGGTGTATGCTGCCATTAAAGATCATCCTTAAGAAAAAAAGAAACAAAACCAAATCCAACGGCAACTTTTTAGCAGGACATGGAATGGGTTAGCATTTTGCTTTCAGTTACCTGTAATTTGCATTTCACTTCCTATAACACTTTTTTTCTCCCATCAGTTGTTTTTCCTTCTCTTGATCTACTCTTTCCCTTAAAGATGCTGAGAAATTGTATTAGACACAAGTTTGTGATGTGTAAGTATCTTTTAGGCAAAGCAGTTGAAGGCCTCAGAACCATAGGAGCAAATTAAAGAGTGTGCCATTATTTTTCAAAAAGAAATGGAAACTATTGGCTTTATTCCAAGAATGTGAAGACTTTTGTGCTTTTCATGAGATAGTATGGGAAAACCCTATAAATTACCTCAAAATATAGGCAATTTTCCCACTTTTCTTCTCATTGTTCCAAGAATAAAGACCTTGTAAAAAGATACATATTTAAAAAAATGCATTGTGATCCAAATGCACACAGGGTAATTCTTTCTGGCTTCAAAATGTTCCCTCACTGGAGCCCCAGAGGACTTGCATCAATACAGAAAGTGGAATTTGCAGCAGCTGTGGTGGCATAGGCTATCACATGGATTCCAATGATTGTCACCCAAAGAGACCAAAAAAAAAAAAAAAAAAGTGGAAAGAAAAAGGATTCTTATCAAATTCAGAAGAGAGAAGGTGTTGAGTCTGCCTGACATTTTGCCTTAACAGAGCCATGACATCAGCTTTGCCCAGAGAAACTCCAGTGCATTGAGCAGCCGGGTAGGCACACAAATCACATGCAAGAGCACTACTGGCCCAAGATTTTCTTTTTTATGTCACAGCTTAGGATACTTCAAGATGAACTAAGCATTTTAGCAATCTTATGAATTGCAAATAGCTAACTGCACTGCATTTCATACATCATTTTATAGACTGGAAAGAAACAAGGAGTATCACATAGACTGAGGACACTGGTTGCACAGCATTTCCTCGGTTAGGAGTCTGAAGATATGCCATAAAATTCCTGCTGTTTTTCCAAGGCCAACAGGAGACACGAAAATAGCCACCTTAACCAGCTGCCACCATAAATCATTTCTGTAAATGTGGTAGGGGAAAGCAACAACATAAACACCAATACTTAAATATATGTTTTAGTTGTAAGTGTATGCAAAAATTAAATTAAATTATTTGCTGGATTATCACAAAGGCACATCCAAGAGCTCCCCAGATCAAAAAGTGACCACAGCATCTGAGGAAGCCATGCATAAAAGGCAGCTCAATGACAAATTGCTGCCAAGTGGACAGTTATTAATGTAAAATTTCCATGTAGAAGCACTGGACTAGATTTACTATTAAAAAAAAATAATGGATCACTGGCATTTCTACATGCTACCCTTATGTCATGAGAAGGAGAAGAAAAACATGACAGATATGAAAGTGTTCTACTATGAATAGCCTGAACACAAGCTCTTGCCATCCTGCCACTTGTCAAGAGAAGAAAATAAGTAAACATTAATTTAAGTTAGTCTAAACTGCCTAAATAAAGAAGTAAATAGATATGATTCCAACAAACTGTGCATTTATTAGCTCTGTCATCTGAAATCAATGCATTATCTGCCTCTACAGTTGGAGAAAAGCAGAAGTATAGGATTACAAATTACAAATTCAGCTTGTGTAATGAAACAGATATATTGTGTCTTTCTCATGAAGAAGGATCGTGATGGAATTCAAAGCTGTTAAATGAGCTCAATTGCTGTCTCGTGCTCTAAGGATACACCTCTAGTCTTTGTTCAGAGCAGGTCTCTTGGAAGATTTGAGTGCTGACTTCCATAGACTAGTTTCTAGCCCTTGCTAGAGTGCAGTCAGGTTATGTTCTATGTACTTACACTGGAATGGAGGGGGGTCCAAGCACCAGATATAGATCAGCTATTGCTTTATGCAGCAGTGCACCAGTGTTATCAGTCATACCAGAATACATAAATGAGGAGTAAGAGGTGCAGTAAGGTGCTGACAGTGGTGGGGTATCTCGCTGTGGAGAGCTCTGAGACTCATCCTAAACAAACAAGTTTCATGCAAATAATATGGGAACTAAGCTATTCTGGTCTCAGAAGCCACAGAATTGCAATGCTGAGTTGGAAGGGATGCTCAAGGATCATTAAGTCCAACTCTTGGCCCTTCTCAGCATCATCCCCAAAAGTCACACCATGTGCCTGAGAGTATTGTCCAAAACTACTTGAACTCTGCTGCTGTGACTTCCCTGGGAAGTGTGATCAGTTTAAGCAGTATGGATACAGGTTAAATGGCACAGAGCTGAACCTGTACTCCAGGGAGGAAGGAGATTATTCATCTCTCAAACTGCTGCAATGACTTTAAAATCCAGAACTATAGTGGGCATCTCTAAAATAATTTCAATTACTCTGAGTGTGTAACACAATTTACGGTAAGTAGATTCTCTGGAGGTGAGTAATTTTGCACAGAGCTTCTGCAGAAAGACTGCCACTAGAGTTCTAGTGGAGCAGGCAGCTGATGGCACACAACTCTCTTTGGCTGCAGCAAGGGACAAGAAGGGAGGAACAAACTGGAGGGGAAGAGACTGTGAAGATGGAAAGCAAACAGACTTGAAACTCTGTTGTGACAGATCTGCTGTAGGACATTTCTAATTTTTGTCCTGAGCTAAGCATTGCTGCCCCCATCACCTCTAGAGGTTTCCAGGTCTTTGCTGTGCTAGTGCAGGACTAAGCACAAATGGAGCCTAACCTACCACCATGGCGGGTTGGGTGGAGGAAAGACACTCATTTTTAACAATCATGCTTGGTTTAACATCAGCTGCACCTAAGGGGCAAGATGACAAGCCTCAATACTTGGAGCACAGAGGCAGATTCAGGCCCCAGGGTATCACGCATGCTCCATGACCCAAGCCTAAGACACATCCATAATGCAGTAGCTGCAAGGGTTATTTCAGCCTATAAGCAAGAAGGGGGGCAGCTTTTATGAAAACATGCTGGGAAGACAACAGCTCTCCCCAATTCCTTAGCCTTTTTGTATTTTTCTTTATGTTGCCTTGCATGTAAGTATAATAAATCACAGTCTAAGTCTCTGAAAATGTAAATGCCTAAAGGCATTTAAAGTGTACAGTCATTGCTTGTGCTATGGAGGCAGTGTAAGAGGGCTGTGCTCCCTATGGAGCCCTCCAGCACCTATGTGCTGATTCCTATAGACAGTCTGGGGGAGTTTTGGGGCTTCGTTCCCCAGCCCAGACAGGCACAAACAGTAACCTTGTGTTCACTGAATATCTCCTCCACTCTGTTCTCTGACAGAGGAGCACAGAGTCTTCCAAGAAAGAGAATTAAATTGTTCCCTCTGTAATGCAAAGGTCCTTGGGCAGGAAGACTGTCTCAGGCTCTTTGTTATAGCACATATAGCTTGGGGTTGTTGTTGGGTGAGAATGAACATGTCAGTCTGCCTCCATTGCCCTGTGAAAATCAGCTTCTCAGCTGACTGTACTTGATATGTTTAACCACAACAAAGCATTATGTTCCAGAAACAGTGGGGTTTCCACTTTGATTCAGGGCTCTTTCTATTCTTTAATTGAATTTTCAAACATTCTACCTCTCTGCAAATGTGTGTATTCATGGGGGTTCCTCCTAGACCTTCAGGTACTCATCTTCAGGTATTCTTAACCTTTGCAGCAGAACTCTAAAAAGACATAGGAGGGCCAAGCTGGCAGCTACAAATACTGAAGGGAAAAGATTTTGCAGTAATTGCCATGCAAAGGTCTGGAGAAGAGTACAGTTTGTGCCTGTTTGTCATGGACAAGAAAAGGTGTATCTTGAAGGTGTTCTGCATCTTGATATTTTCCACAGTGACAGGACTTGGGAGGGATGTACCTGTGTGAGTGTGAGCAGGAGCAATAATTTTGTTAAGGCACTTACAAAACAACGCAAACTGAGGCATGGAGAGCAGACATAGATCACTGACACAGACAGTTGTAATAATGTTTATAGGAGGTAGATACAGAGTGAAATAAAGGTAACCTGAAATACAAAATTAGGGAATTCTTATTAAAAGGATTAAAGAAAACCAAGAGAGAAGCGAATAGAAAAAAAAAATCCACCATGAAAAGACTTACAATTTTGTAGGGCAATCACAGTTTGCAAAGAGTATTCACAAACCTGAAAACCACTGAACAAACATTTTCTGGGATCACTCAAATTGTTAAGTTTTTTATTATTATTATTTATATTATTTTTGTGAGGGAAAAGATTGCAATTTCTCCATGAGATCTTAGCTTATATTAAACAAATATAAGCTTGCTGACCAAGGTTTCTTTTCCTGATGAAACAGAATTTTCCAGAGAACAAAACACAATTTTCTGACTAGATCTTAATAATGCCTTCAGGATATTTCCCATGTTTATGTAGATTTTTCTACAGCAGCAACAACAAAATGCAACATATAACTTCTGGCCTTGCTGTGTTATGAATAATAAGTGCAACTTATATACATATAATTCCATACTACAGCAATTGTTTAGGGCTTTTGGGGAAAAAAACATAAAAAAGAAAACACAAACCCAAACCCAAAAAACTAAATAAGAAAATCCTAGCATCAAATGTTAATAACTATCACTTCAGATATAAGCCACTTAAGTTTAAAAATTTTTTCACCACCCTGTGAAAATGCCACAAATTCAGGTAAAACCAGGAGTTCCTGTTATGGATGATAGATTGCACTGCAGCCCAAGTTTGGGCAGAGAAGGAATGACCAGCATGAAATAGGCAGTCATAATGAAAAGTTTATTACTTTCACAGAGGAAAATATGCCCGTATCTGAAGATAAAAATGGTTTCAATTTAAGCAATAAATAAAATACCTTTATCCAGTGTTCAAAGTGCAAGGCTAATGAAATTAAAGGATCATTCACTAACCTCTCAGAGTCCATCAAAAATTAAGAGTTTGGCAGAATTAAATCCCTCCATGGCATATACACTTAAACATACTTCCTCAGCTCTGTTCTATTTAGTTCCTTATGACAAGGTGTAATATGCAAGATGTCTAGATTGCTCGGACTCAGTCAACAAAAATTGCTTCATTCTTGGCTGTCATTCTTTAAAATGTATTCCTAATCTGGCATGTTCTCTTTATGAAATCCCTTATGGCCATCTGTTGAAATGAACTGAAGTATTTTTCAAGGATGTATATAATGCAGAAGAAACGTTACAGTGGTAAGATCATAAAAACCTGTAAAAAAGAGAAAGGCACATGAACATGGCATTAACTGGTGTGACATTAGCTCTGATACAGACTGGAAAAGGACATTTAGAGGTGACAGGAGAGAATGATAACAGGAAACCCGTAGGGTACACAGTCAGGGTTACAGCTCCTTCATGGCAGAGTTCCTGTTTTACAAGGAGTGGAAAACAAGGTGTCACTGCTTTTTCTTCTAATACCCACTTCATACCAAGGACAAGTCTCCATCAAAGCAGTCTGTAAATTATTCTTTACTTTTTCTGTATCTCATTGCTCATTCTTCTCCCTGGAAAAGGAAACAACTGGGTTCACATACTGCACGTTTTTTAGAAAATATTTTGTGGTTTATGGTATTTAAAGGTGTTTTATGGTATTTAAAGTTATTTTATGACTCATCATTTTCAACGTATGAAATGATTTTTCAGCTACAACTCTCCTTCCCACGTCTTTTTGAGCAAGCTGACTTACCTTTTAGATGCATTTAGCAAAAACATTATGCTTTCCTGACACATCCTCAGCAAGGCAGCAATTCAGAATGAAACCAGTGTAAGGCAGTCATACATTCTCATACTTGAAATTTATGCTCAACTAAGCAACTAACAGTGTTAAATTTCTTCCAAATAGTTGGACATATTTAGCTGCTTCTTTTGTTTGAAAATAATTCACTGAAAGATCCAAAGCTTTGCAGCTTTACTTGTCAATAAACATTAATCTGCAAAGGGTTCATGGAAGCATCATGCAGCCAATGGGCGGCTGACAATCTGTTTATTGCTCCTATTGCCTGGTAGCTGTTAGCACTGCAACTGCTTCCTCATACAATGACTCCTAAAGAGCTTCAAAAGGCCACCAAACAGTTTAATTCAAATATCCATGCAAAGCCACATACCATGTTTGTTTCCTGCTAACACCCTTCTGAACACAGATCCATTCAGAAAACATTGATGGAGACAGACGAGTTGTTTTTGAAGCATTTGCTTAAGGCCAAAAATTTCAGTAGTGACTAATTATTTTGGGTACTACATTTTCAGTGCTTCCCAGACAGGCACCTGCAAGCAAGAGATCTGTGTACAGAGTGGTGGAAAGGAACAATAATTCTGGGCCAGACCTTCTGAGAATGCCTCCAGGACAGCCAAGAATTCATTTTTAGAAATTTTTGAAAATTGTAGTTTACTGTGGGGTTTTCTGTGTTGTATGTTTTCTTGTTTTGTTTTTGTTTTGGTTTTTTTATGTTGTTTTTTTTTTTTTTTTCCCCTAACAGAACTTGAGTGCTCTTTCTACAGACATCTCTTGGTTTATAAGATTTCCATAACATAAGATTTTGGGATATCGCCTTTCAGTTGTAATGAAATTCAAATAACGTTTATCTGATTTTTTTTCCTTGGGGATAGAAAATTTATGGCAAAAAGAAAAAGAAAAAGAGGAGAAAGGGAATTGTGCATATAAAATGACAGGGCAAGCTCTCAAATTGCCATAGTTATAACATTTTTCAAGGTCATGTGTCAAATACAAATGAAATAATGAACCTTTGCTAGTCTGTGGTATCCCATGTCAGGCAACTTAGGCATCAGCATCAATACAATATCTTTGATGAACTGCACTTCTGTGCCCTGCTGCTCTAACCTGGAAGTTAAAAAGGCAGCAATTAAGTTTTCTAAAAAGGAGTAGGAAAAACAGGAAAAAATGGGGCTAAGAGCTAGCAGTATTCTTAATTGTGGAATAGTTATTTAATACCAAAGCAAAAGAACTACAAATGTGCAGACTGAAGGTAAATGGCAAGGAACAGGGATGTTAATGAAAAGGTTGGGTAGGCTGCAGCTATGAGACTCACATCTGACCCATGAGACATTTCAAGATAACAACCAGGTGGGAGTGTGGGGAGAAATATTAGAGGTGAAGGAGCCATTATTTACAATCCTATGATGGAGTGCAAAGCAAAACAAAATGCATCAAAGCTATTCTTTCAAAAGACATAGGACTGCATGAAAAAAACTCCCCAACTTGGATGATTCATTTTATTCTAAACTATGTAACTCGAAATATTCAAGTTCCTTCCAGCAAGGTATCTTATAGTTAACTATATACTGCAAAGGAGGGTGTATATTATAATCCAATTTAGGATATGTTATATTGTATCATTAGAGAACAATTTTCACTTTGTACAGCTCAAAATGTCTTAATGGGTTTAAAACACATGCTTCTTTTCCTTTTCTCCCCTTTCAGCACTGCATAAATTGAAGCTATGGGTAATATTTCTGTTCTATGTGCCTTCCTGGGAAGTATATGTTACTGAAAACGAAATGGGTGACTCCAGAGTTGTATATGTTACAGTCATATTTTGAAACCAGTCATTTCAGGAAATGATTAAAATTTTCAACCATTTCACAAAATGGCTGCTTAATTGAGTTAATCTCTGAAATAAGTTTCACACCTTTAATGAAGTTTGGGAAACAAGTAGGGACACACTATGTGAAATACCTGATACCTTATGACAGGAATTACTTAAAAAGACAACACATTAGCTTTTCATAATTTATTTCCTTCTAAAGCCATATGGATGTTTATTCCACATTTATTCCTGAAATCTTCCAGTCTCACATGCCAGAACTGAACTTGTCTTCATAACTAACTGTAACATCAGTATTTTCTCCATTTAGCTTTTCAATATTTTCTCCATTTTGCTTTTCCTCCCTCTGAAGACCATGCTTTACTGAGAGCCCTGCCTGCAAAGCCAATGCTGCCCAGGCTCCTCCCTGCTGGCCAGAATAGCTGACGAGGGCAGAGGGCAGCACATAGGGCAGGATTGGGCAGGAAGTGGCTGGCAAGGTGCCTTAAAAGTGAAGGACCAGTTAGCTCATGGGTATTGGTGGATGGAGAGCTTAGTGGATCTGAATGAATCCATTCTGAGACAGCTTGAGCTACAGGAATTTGTTTAACCTTTAGCTTAGTTTAGCAGTACTTCCCATTTGACTGCCTAGTACTGTATCAGGCGTGGGGAGCACTGTGTCTGCTGGGGATGTGGGTGTACCAGTGTCGTCAGAAAGAGCACTGAACACTGATTACAGATTCTGCTGACTGTGGAGGTGGCTGATGATCCCTGATAGTAGAAAGGCAGAGTTATGCCCACATTTGGGATTGGTACAGAACCAAGCTGCATACCAGACTGATGGGTGGTGCTTTTGAGAGCTGGGCAAAGTGAGTCACCTCAGTCCAGTCCCATGAATTATTGTTTGACATCCGTGCTAAGAGCATTTGCTTATTATCCCCTTTGAGAGACCCCTGGATTTGTGGAAATCTTGCTTTTTCCATACACCAAGCCAAGTGAAGGCCACAGAAGCTTCAGTTCTTGGATAACTTCAGCAGCAATCTCAGTTCTTTTATCACTCTGCAACCCTACCAAGTAGTGTTACCAAGACACAACCAAGAGTTGCCAAGTAGAAGAAAAATACTGAAAAACTGAAAGGCTGTTTCTGGTTCCCTCAGAGAACACAAAACCTAAGGTGGTCTTGGTACAACATTACATCCTTAAAATTGCCTTGAGGTGAAGCTTGCACAACAATAAAGTCAGCCTGGCCTCTGATGAGTATTCATTGCTCTAATGGTCAGTTTTACAGCAAGGTCATTAGCCAAGGATTTTAGCACCCAAAACAGAAAAATCTCAAGACCTCAGCAGTCTGTCTTTTGATGTTTGCATATTCAGATGATAAATGCTTTATAACAAGAACAGGTAATAATTCTTGCTTTTCTGGCAGAATTGTACCTCTCTTCAACATTCACACACTATGTGGGAAACACTTCTTTAGTCCAGTGGTTTTTGATTAACTGTTTCTTGTCACCAGCCATAGCATTTCACACCTATGACAGTGGAGGAAGTATAAAGAACTAACCAGAAATTTCATAACCAAAGAACACACAAATTATGAAGAGAGCAGAAAGAAAAAATAATAAAGAAAAAAGAGAGAGAAGAAAAAAGACCGTTTTTTCAAACTTACTTTACAAGCAAGTAGTGTTCAAATCTTGATTTGAGTTTGGGATCTTGGCTTGCCTTTTTGATCTCAGTGATAGCTGTACTGTATCTTTCCTTTAGTATCAAGCACTTTGCACACTTCTCCTACTTTTTGGAAAGTTCATTTCTGAAGCTACTTTCAAAATCCAGAGGCATCTCCAGCAGCCAGCGAAGAAAAAAGCAAAGGATCCTTATCCAATAACACCCCTTTTCACAATATGCCTGCTACTGGGGGAAACAAGCAGTCAAACAGACTGGCGGAATTTGCAGCACGTCAGTCACTTTGTAGAACACGTGAAACTTTTAGTCATTTTACCAAATGAGTGACTGAAGGAGTCATTTGAAAAATGACTGAAAATTTCAGTCATTTCAGGAAATCGCTGGTTTCATGTTTCTTCTAACAGGCCGTGCGCAGAAGGGCAGGCTCAGGCTGGCAGCGGGAAGCAGATCGCGTTCTTCAAACCCCCTCTTGTGGCTGTGCAGTTCAGCGCCATAAAGCGCCGCAGTTTACTGGCATCTTTTGTTTAAAGACTGCAGTGGTTGTTCAGGAAGGAAGGAGATGCGAGAGACCTTGCTTTATCTCCATGCTAATATTCTTCCTTGAATATCTCTGTCAAGGGAGGTTTTCAGGGTTTTTTCCTCAGTCCTTAATCAATAGTACACGCGGTTTGACCCGGATACCTCTGCAGAGATCCAGTACAAAGCATTTTCCAAAAAGGTTCCATACAGATGAATCCACTGGCTGTTTTATGTGACTAATTTTAGTATAGCTGTATCTGTTTTATGTAGAAGTAAAACATTCGTTTTGTTTTCTGCAAAGTATTTTAAAGCTGCACAGCCTTCAGGTAGATCTGAAAAAATTAATGTGTCCAGAGAATACTTTCTTAGCAGATAGTTAGCAGTGAAAAAGCTTCCACAAATGCAGGTGACCAGCTATTCAAATCCAAGCAATTTTGAACAAAAGAGGTTCCTAAGGCCAAAGTCCTTGTTTTCCTAAGTAGAAACCAAATTATTGATCTTCTTCTCTGAATGGGACTGAAACAAAGAGCTGGTGGAAAGGGAGAGCAGGATAAGGAGGGGTGATTGTGGTTTACTGTGAATTCTAAAATTTTTGCTTAATTCCAAAGTGCTTTAAGAAGAGTGATGCAAGTGATGGCAGAAATGTTTGCTCAATACCCTGTATCTGCAGTGCTGCCTTCACATTTGTTTTGGTATGTTGCATGTTCAGGATGTGTTTGCAGAAATAGTACCTTACTTCGAGTTCCTGTCAAAAGGATGATGCCAGACAGAGTTAAAACCATCAGATTAGGTCCTTACTTAGTTTGGAGCCACTCAGAAAAGATCAGCACAGGTATCCTCTGTAGGACTTCATCACAAAAGCCTTTGGATACCATCAAGATCTGTGATACCTCATTTTGCCAGCATTCCCCTCTTCCCAAATACAACATACTTTCCCTTTGTTCCAGTCTTGTTTCAGAGATTTTTTAAAATATACTTTTGATCTAATTTAAGTAAACATGGTATTTCAGCATAACTACAGCTATTCATTTCTGTTTTTTCTTTTTTTCATTTATTTTCATTTTGTACTTATAGCGACATTGAGAGTCAGTGGACTCATAGCTTCTAAAAGCATAGCCTGAGAGAATCTGGTAGAAGTCCGCTTTTTTTTTTTTTTTTTAAATTTTTTTTTTTTTTTTTTTTTTTTTTTTTTTTTTTTTTTTTTTTTTTTTTTTTTTTTGTATATTAAAATCTGGTAAACTGAAAGACTACACAGATAACTACAAAAGTATTTCATACCAAAACTTAGAGGAAATGTGTTTGATCAAAGCAAAAACATTACTTAATCAACAGAAAGGAAACAATTGGTTGTGCTCTCCTTGGGTATTTTTCCCATTATGTAAGCTTCCCAAAATAATGACCATTATTAAGTTCAATATACTTCATTTAATGTATTAGGGAAATGGCTCAGTGAGTTTCTGCTACACAGGTCTGTAAAAACTAAAATGAAATTCCTTTTTACATGAAAAATTAGAGAGACTTTTTAGGGAACCATTTTACTATTTCATTTGGAAAATGCAACTATAAAGTCAGATAGAAAACATTATTTTTCCCTAGCTAAAATTGTCGTACTTCACAAAAACCAGAGTATGAATACTGGCTACAGATTCTTTTGACAATAGATACTTCAGCAGTATGGTTTTGTCCATATCTCTATATATTTAAAGAGCTCAAGGTTTGGTTTCTGGTTCTGGCACAGTTTTTGCAAGAGTGTTAGGTCAAGGTGAGGACTTGTAACAGTGACTCTGAATCTGCTTGGATGTGTCTGGGTTTGAAATCAGTGAAATTCCACTGTGCTTCATCTCAGAATGTCCTGATGTGCCTCAGCTCCCTAAAAATATCTTTCTGTAAGGGAAAATTTATTAGCTCTTGTGAAGCACCCTTATGCTGTGACAACAGGGAACAGACAGGAAGACAAGGGCAAATCAGGACTGGCCCAAAGCTCCTCAGCAGGGAAGGACAAAATTAATTTTTTCCATTCTTCAACTTACGTCATACTCACAGGTAGTAGCAACACAGATTCTCCATGTAGCACCCTTCCTAGGGCATGTGCTGGCCTAGGGAAAGACCAGCCTTCCAGGAGGCAGCAGCTGGAGTGAGAGTTTGCTACCTCCCCAGGCACTTGGGGCTCAGCAGCTGCTCTCCTGGTCTGATCCCAGCCCCCTGCAGTCCCTGTTTTTCTCTATGGCTGCAGGAGGTTTTGTCCTCACAGATGGTTGTGGGGGACCTTGAAAGGTTTGCTTACACCTTGCCTTGCTTTGAGTGGTGGCGTGTGTTTTGGGGCTTTATAATGATCAGGCACAAACTTTCATGGAACCTGCTATAAGCCTGCTAAATCCTCACACAGCCTTAAGCTTTCCTATCCCAACAGTTTTAATTAAGTCAGCCAATTCATACTACATGTTTATCACCATTAAACCTGGTATTATTTGCTGAAGTGAATGTAGGCATGCAGAGAAGTCAGGTATTAGTAATTACTGTAAAAGCATACTATATATACACCTACTTTATTGATTTCCAATATTTAATATTCCACAGTGACCAGCACTGATCTAGCTACACTAATGAAAATACTAGTATATTATTTTCAGTTCCTTAGCCAATATTTAAGACTTTTTCTATTTACCTAATACTGAAGAAAAGCTCTATCCCTAATAAATGAATCCAAGTGAGAAGCTACTTTCAAAGACCACAATATATGATGCAAAAAGCAGTATGTTATGAAATGTGACTTGTCTACTTTATTCACATACCACTTTTAAAATATATTTTAATTTTTTTTCACCTATGTGCTATGTATTTGGTTATTTTGCACTATCAGTTTGCATAGTGGATGGTTTCATGGTCAGGCTGAGGAAATTGGGGCTGTTCCACCTAGGAAAGTGAGAGGAGGGTTGTTTGGAGTCTTCATAGCAACGTTCCCGTTCCAGTATCTGAAGGGAAGCCTGAGAGGCAATCAGGAACTGTAGTGACAAGACCAGGGGGAAAGGCTTCAAATTGAAGGAGACTAAGTTTAGATTAGATATTAGGACAAAATAATTTTACTGTGGGGGTGGTAAGGCACAGGAACAAGTTGTCTGAAAAAACAGTGGATGCACCAAACATAGCAATATTCAATGCCAGGTTGGAGAGGACTTTGAGCAACTTGGTCTAATGGGAGGTGTCCCTACCCATGGCAGAGGGAATGGGAATGGGACAAACTTTGAGGTCTCTTCCAACCCAAAGCATTTTGTGCTTCTGTTTGGCAGTTCAGTTGTGCTGAGACACACCACTGTGATCACATTTCTGCAACAGAACATGACAGGTTGGCAATTCTTTCCTTTTACTGTTGTTCACTCCATCAATCAGTTTCTACTAAGTTAAATTAATTTAATTTCTCAAAGATGGATAAGAGGTGGACTTCTAAACCTCCTGACCTTTCAGCTCTGTGTTTCAGACATTAGTTTGCTAGGGAAGGGATCAGATCTCCCCCATACTCTTGTTTTCAACCTTATTTATATGGGAATTGGATTTCAGGAAGGCAGATTTTTAGAGAGCATTTCATTTGGGTTGGTCTCACAGGCAAAAATTTTTCCTGTGAATTCTACCATTGCCTTCCACACAAGTAGGATCTGGTGAAGACTGAGTACATTTGGAACTCCTCTTTCAATTCAGTGTTTTTCAAATGGTATCTGTGACTAGAAGAAGCCAAGTTGTGGGTTCAGGACCTGTAAGAACTGTTCACTTGATCAAAGACTATAGCATTGGTAGTAACTAGATAGTAGACAAGAAAAACTGCAATGTGGAACAGAGTACAGGAAGTAAGAAAATGCAGGTTTGGTGTGTTTAAGTACAAATGTGAAGGTGAAAAAAACATTTTAAGGTAAATTGTCAATTCACTACAAGATACAATACTTGGTTTTCTTAACCTTTCCATAGCAAGTGAGGATAACCAGCTGAAAGTTTTTTATCAGGACAGAATTTAGTGAGTTGAGATTTCCCAATTTTAGGTCTTCTAAAAAGTACATCAAACTGGCATTACTCATCTATCACATCCATTCACCAAGTGAGATCATCTTGGCATTCTTTTTCTATAGCAGCTTACAAAAGCATTCAGTCCAGTCATCATATCTATTTCTTCTCTTTTAAGTTTTCTTTCTGTCATTTCCACTGCTTTATGTTGTGACACTTGAAGACCCACACTTCCTCAGAAAATAATGCTTCAAGGTACAAGATGCTTCTTGAAGATCAGTTTTCTTTCAAGCTCTGATGTTACTCCCAGTTGTACCACCCTTCTGTCCTGCCTGCTGCACCTTCAGTAATAGACAACACAGAGAGAATTTGCAAAACATTAGGAAACTAATCACCAGGAACTGGATTTGTCTGACCATAAGGAAAATTCTGAAGAGCTATTTGCTTGGCAAGAAGCAAATAGAGAAGCTGAACAGTTAAAGATGTCTTAAAGAGATCAATTTTTTAAAACTTAATATGTTTAAAATTCAAATTAAATTTTATGACAATTGCTTTGTTCTTACTATTGATAATTAAGGAATCTAATGCTTTCAAATGTGAAAACAATATTGTCTCAAGTAAAAGTGACCTCTGCTGCAAAACAAGGACTGGAGACTTTACAATGTTCTCAGTCTTCTTTCCTGGCAAAGATCATGTACTACCAGATGGGGATCAATTAAAGGAACACGGAAAAGCTGACAATTGGCTTCTTGGCTAAATTTAAAATGTAAAAAGAAGTTGTTTCAGATGATGCCAAAATGGCCAAATTTTTCTTGGGAAGTGGAAAATGATTGAAAAAGGTGAAAGACTTCTCAAGTTTTTTTATTTCTTTCTGGATCTTTTTGTCAAGAAAATTCAACAAGTTTATCACAAACTTACAAATAGTTTCATCTGACCTGCACTTACATTTACAGCAAAGAAATCACTCAAGCAAAAGATATTCATCACCTCTGGGAACAGCACACACCTTTTTTTCCATGCAGCTTTCCCGAACACTAGTAAGCCATTAACTGTATTTGCTGTTTCCTGCATTCAATTACCAAACATGATGTGTTTGCCAGACCAGATTTTTCACGTGAAAGTATTCAACACAGAGATATTTTTTTTGCCAATCCTTGAACTATTCTAGAAAATAGTTCTGGTTTTATCTGAACAAGGAATGGGTTCCATGATGAAGGATGAGAAATGCTGTTTCTACATGCTATATGCAAAAAGCTTGAAGGACTCAAAATCTGTATCCAAATTATGGCACTCAGACTGATTCTCAAGAGGGCTGAAGTACAATTTC